CAGCTGGTGACCTTCGGCGATCTCAGTAACGATGGTAACGATGTCGAGACCACAGGAACGAGTTCAATGCGTGTTGTGTCTAGCAGAGTTCCAATATTTTACCGCTGTCCAACTTCATTTTAGAACGCAATATAGACTTCAAGCTCCTACACGGATAAACATTCTGTTCTAGGACAACAAACTGAGGACTACAGGCAGTCTGTTGCATGTAAAATCTCCTGAAAAGACACGGACCTCTGAAGAAAATGTTAATCGCATTAGAAAACCATTCCAGCGAAGTCCGCCCAAATCAATTCGTGCTGCTAGCTTGCAGTTACGTACAAATTCCACATTCAACAGTGCACGGTGTGCTACATAAAAGGCTCCGCCTAAAAGCGTACAAGATTCAAATGATTCATGCATTAAAACCGAGTGACCAAGTTGCACACACACAAAATTCACTGTGGATATGCTACAAAGAAGCGACGCGTCACCCGATTTCCTCCGCCAAGTGTGCTTCTCGAACGAGCCGACGTTCCGTGTCGGTGGAGTTGTGAACAGGTGACACTGCAGGATTTGGGGCAGTCGAAATCCGCATGTCACATCTGAATTCGAGAGAGGCAATCCCAAAGTGAACGCGTGGGCTGGCTTAATGCAGGACAAATGAAATGAATTTGGGTTTTTTGTGTCGCGTGTGATAGACTGGTATTTCACACGCGCACTCAGGATGTTAGGAGTGTGTCACCACGTCTAAAAACGTGGCGGATAACTTGTATTTGCTGTCACCAGATAACAGAACTGGGTTATCGCCAGGTACGCTGTTAATATACTGATTCAATCAGGTAGGTTGTGCTGGCCAGCAGTGATGTTGTCGAAATCTGCCTGTTGAAGTCGTGTAGCTGGTTGTTGAACCGAAGCGTTAGAAGTGTGCAGAAGTGAACCAATTGCTTGGCCTCATAGGTCGCCAGATTTAAACCCAATGGATTTTTTCTTATGGGGTTATGTGAAGAACATTGCCTACCAGTTTAAGATCAACGACCTTCCAAGCCCGCATAAGGAACGCTGTGGCTACGGTAACACCAAACATGCTTCAAGCAACATGGAACGAGGTCGAATATCGTCTGGATATTTATCATACCACCAAGGGAGTCCACATTGAAATTTATTGAGGAAGTTATACACTCAGAGAAAACTTTGATAGTTTCCTTTCATAATGGTGTAACCCATAAATGTGTGTAATAAATGCTTTCTGATATATAATTATTTTATTTTAGATACCTTTCATCCGGACGCTCTGTATATATATTTATGGCTTGTAATTGTGCCGTTATGTATTAGTCAGTGTCGTTAATAGTCACGTCCATTCACTCTAATCGACGATTTGCACTCCCACAACACGTATAAACACCCAAAAGATCGCCGATCCCCGGATAATCGCTTGTCACTGTTCAGCTGTTGGTTTATGGGAACGGGAGCAACGCATTGGTAGCCACTTGTTGCCATTGCTTCTTTGGGCACGCTGTTGCCATAAATAAGGTAAAGGTGGCCGTAGCTTCTCACTATGCTGGGCTAAGTTAGACGCAGCTGCTCGCTATGAATCGCCTTTTAGGGACTCCGAGGAAGCAGCACCTTTGTAGTAGTTGTCCTGGGCGCCACTCAGTGGAGAACATGAAACTTTCACAGGGTCGTTAAGTGGGCCTTGGCTCCAACAAGACAGCCAACGAAACCCACGGCAAACTTATAAACACTCACATTTTATTTAATTCAGATATTTAAATTACTAGTAACACTTTGATGGGACTATATGTAGTCCTTAGTTCCTTTGTGTGAAGACGGGACGCGCACGGACACGTCTTCACCGTTCGGGATCTGGTTAGGGTCTCTTTTGGACAAAGAGCTGCACATGACGACAGATTACCGTTAACATGACGTCATACTGGGACTCTAGCAAGCTGACTGGCTATACATTGGGAAGTACCGCGCTAACTAACTTATAGGGCTTACATCATGTTTTACTGAATGGAGGGAGAGCCCCTGAATTATCAGCTTCATAAGAAGTCATGCGACGTTGAGTCATTCCCACTTAATGTATGGCTTATAGCGTAATGAAGCACGTGATGATTTACGCAATGTAATAAATTAATAAATTAAGTCTTACAAAAATACAGTGGTTATATAAAAAATAAACGTGTACATAAATTAGGCGAAGTATATTATTAAAAAGAAGTAATCGGTTACAATTGTGTGTGTGTGCACTGGCCACTTTTAGAAGACTGGTCGCGTCGGCCAGTCATTCGGGTAGTGTGCTAGTGCAATCGTACTAATGTTCACTGTTTTGACTCACATTCTGGAATTTTCTGATTAGAATTAGTAAATTATGAGCCCTGTAATTGAAAGAAAAGCAAATGCTACAATTGGTTTCCTTTAGCGACGAACTGCTAATGGACGACGCTTCATGGAACCAAATAACGTCGATTAAAGGGGTATTACTCTACTGACAGAACTGATATTTTGCAGTGAGAGGTCGCCATTGCAGTCTCGAGTTTTTCCTCTAAACAAGCAAACCACCGTTAACAGCGTACATATTCAGTGAAATCATGATTTAATGTATACGAGTGGATATTTTAGTCTGAGAAGGAAACTGTTTATTTCGAAGGTTGCGTCAATTGACTGCATTTGAAATCAGTCGAAGTAAGGTGCAGGTAATGGCCGCGCCATAGCCCAAGCCGTTAGTCGCTGGCTTCCCATCGCGGCGGCCCGAGTTTGATCCTGGGTCTGGTCAAGTGGGATTTTTGGCGGACAAAGTGGCGCTGGGGCAGGTTTTCTCCGAGTACTTCGGTTTCCCTTGCCAATCTTCATTGCACCAATTGCTCCACAATCACCCTCACCTATCATCTGGGGCTGGTACAATAGGCCAGAAGTGGCCGCAGTACAAGGAACTTAGTCCCACCCCACTAGCAATAAAAAAAATTGCAGGTAGACCACTTGCTAAGCGCTGACTTTGTAAACAGAGGTTGTTGCTAGGTAATGCCCAAAACATACGCGCACGCAACAATATAAAAGCTGTGTTTTCAGCAGTCCGTGCCGAGATGTTATAACCGGGACAATTAGTGAGAGAGTTCGGGGCAATGAAAGGAAGTGAAGAGCTGAGTTCAGTCAGTCTGTGAAGAGAAGACTAAGAGGTTGGCGTGAGATGGCCTCCAGCCTGCGAGTCAGTTGAAGCAATGAGTCATTTGTGGAGTATTAGCCAGCGGGCAACGACGTGAGCACAGCTGAACGAACCCTATTGTTGAGAGCTGTTACCAGGAAATGGCTAGTGATGACACGGAAGATTTTATATGTCCGGGAGTTAAGAGTGGAGATTAGCGATGTCCTTATAATTACTTGTAGTTACGAGCTAATTGGTCAATAATTCTAGTCACCAATCCAATCCCCGTCTACAGTCACTCATACACGTGAGAGTATTAATGAAAGGGAAGAATACAAAATGTATACGGGGAAAATGGAGCGTACGAGGGTATGTCGAAATAATGCTTATTGTTGAAATATACAAGTGCCTGTCAGTACTCACTTTGATCTGAAAGCTGAATCACTCAACAGCCGGCTACTCCGGTTAGTGCTCAAAGAAACGGAAGAAAAGGAGCGATTCGTCTCTTTTTAAGAAATTAGTTTCTAATCAATTTTTCCGACAAAATTTTTTCATAGCAGTACCAGTCAGTGCATATTGCCATTCTGCCAAGTTTAGCTTCTCAGTATAAATATTGTTGTCTTTCCCGAATTCTTCAATTTACTAATGTGAGACTATTTTGACGAATTCTTCTAAATATTTTCCGTCCCACCAGAAAGAGACTGGCCCTTCTAAAGATCCTATTTTTGTTCAATTTTCTATTAGCAGTCCACTCGATTGGGTAATCACTTCACCACGAAACTGGAAACAGTAATGCTGTTAGAAACGCTGACAATGCAACCATCGTCCGAAATAAAATCTATATTTTCATCGAACCGCCGTGAAAGCTTGAAATCCTAATTAATTCACTGTTTCATGTTTTCTACTAACATTCAGTATCCGTCAGGGACACCAATCTTCCGTTTTAAGAAAGCATTAATTTCACTGACGAAAAGTGTTTGCGGACGAATCCCTACAGGGTATTTCTGTTTGTTTTGTTGTCTCTATTGAAACCGTCAAGTTTCCGTACCGCATGTATACTACTGGAATGAGAACAGAATGTAGCACAGTAAACTGCAACACGGTTTCCTTAGAACCACTAACATCACTTAATCCATTAGCGGAAAGAGTAAAGAATACGAGGAAACTATTATACACAGTACAGACTAAATATTATGTCACATTACAATCCTAAATTATGAGAGCAAGGAATGGTGAACTATAAATTACTGATGGCAGATATTTGTAGTCATTGTTGCCAATGACAGAACCGCAACAGGTTCTGAATTAGGTTACACAATGGCTCCTCGTGTATTTGATCGGTTCATTTACCAGTCACTTACTGGACTCTTATTAGGGTTTTTTGTATCGCGAAGTTTACAACGACGTGTTATAAACTGTTTTCAACAATCTGCCGACGTATATGTGTCCCTCAGAAGCAAATAAACATAGGCCCGTTCTATTAATTACTTCCACACATGTTACTGCAAAACAAAATAATTATGTTTTTGATTGTCTTGCATAATGGTGCGGAAGTGATAATCTATCCATGAGATGTTCACCTACTTTAAAAATTTAACCACATACATGACCTGAGAACTGGTAGGCCTACTAAGATTAATACAGACAGAAATATATACCGTTACTTCAAAATATTACCAGTATACGAGTACACACATATGTCGAACACAGTTGCCTCGTAGTCTAAGTAAAATATGTCTAAACGATGTTGAGTTGACGGAAATAAATACAACTGGAAATAAAAAACACGTCTCTTTTGGAAATGTTCTTAATATCATAATTGAAGATTAAGGCGAAGAAGAAGATGGCTCCCGTAACAATATTTCCATTTCAGGACAGCCATGAACTCCACTACAGATAATATGGAAGGACTTCAGGCTCAGTTCTTTGGCTGGCTCGACTTTACACTGTTTGTACTCATGCTGGTATTGTCGACAATGATTGGAATATACTTTGGCTTTTGGGGCAAAAAGGAAGATACACCCAAGGAGTACCTGCATGGAGGCAAAACGATGAGCACAATTCCGGTAGCGGTGTCCCTCGTGGCCAGGTTAGTATATTCGGCTTGTTACACGCTTGAAAATGTAGTGAAATGACATTTATCATCATGGTGAATGTGAAGAAATAATTTACTGTGGACAGTATGTTAGTATATTAACGGACTCAACACGCAAAGCAGCCTATGCTTATAACCTACAGTTTACTCTCCCACGTATGAAATTTCTATTAACATATATTGATAAAACAAAATATTTCAACCGGGAAAATGTGTACCGTGGAATAACGGCAAATCTCTTACATCCAGGTTTCTTCTGTGTTGTCTGTAAAATTCATCATAGGTGCCGATATGTTTAGATTTTAATTTTGTATTCTATTACATGACACAATATCTCCATTTCCTCTTCGCGATATTAAAATTATCTCGACCATAACCCACGGATACTCCAGTGCCACATAATTAACAAAATTAGAAATCGAACAGGCCTGTAATTTTGTACTGTGCCTGTTTCTCAGTCGAGATGCAGGCCTGTTCAGCTGTAAAGAAGATCGAACAGACTTCTTTATACAGGCTTCTCTTAGTGTTCATTCTTATCTTGGACATAGTATCATTCCTGAATTGTTTTATCTTCTGGGATAGTACGCCGTGTAACCCGGTGAAAGTCACCCGACGTTTAGGAGGAATATACTACCTCCATCGTCAGTGCCGGAGAGTAATCTAAGCAAACAACTAACACTAGGAATGTCGCAATTGCTGTCTGATTCAATCAACATAATCGTTATGAGATATTAACTTCTCATGCCAGTGAAAATTAATAGTATAAATACAGGGGTTAAGACACAGTGTAGTACTGTAAGTGGGTACCACCGTTTCAGAGAAATATATTGCTTCTATTTTCATGATACAACTTCAACTTCGCAATAGTTCTGTCTTAAAGATGGAGGCAACGTTTTCCTCCGAAGTATTGGTAACGGCTTATCAGATTATGGATCGGCCTAACTCAGAAGCCCAATATACGGTAAAGAAAACTTGTGCTTTACGTTTGCAGCTTCTTGTCGGGCATTATGCTGATGGGGGCTCCAACAGAGGTCTACCTGTACGGAACTCTGTACTGGTTGGTGTGTGTGGCCGTAGTGTTCGTCGCGGTTGCCATGAATTACATCTATTTACCAGTATTCTACGAGCTGCAGCTCACCTCAACTTACGAGGTATGTGCAACCATTAAAGTAAAGTAAAGGAATGCTTGTAACAGGCCGTGGAGGCCCATAGGGTTGTGAGATGTTGAGGCTCCCAAATTTTCTAGACAATCGGCTCATAGAAGGCGGAAAGGTTGTCAGCCTTACGCGCCGCCCGCCCTTTACCCCCAGGAACCTTCCTGGTACTCATTTTTCTTAGAGGTTGAGTCGACCTCAGGGCCATAGTGCGGCTGGAAGGATTAGGTCAAATGAAAAAATTCAATGACCTCATCGGGACTTGAACCCGCGACCTTCCGGCTTGTAGCATAGTGCCTCAATCAACTACGCTACCGTGTGCCCTTATGTGCAACCACTTCTTATAATTTATTTTTATGTAGGGTTTCTGCTTCCCACAGAGGTCGTTATGAAGGGTACTACATTCTGGGATATAACGCCGTGTAGTCCGTTTAAAGTCAACCGATGTTTCGGAAGAATACATCGCCTCCATCTTCATGGTCGAAGGAGGCGGTATATTCCTCGGAAACGTCGGTTGATTTTCAACGGGCTACACAGCGTTATATTCAAGAAATGGTACTCATGAACTTATTCTTAAGTTATATAACGACAATAGGTTACACAGAAGCTACTTACAAGGCAAGATGATCGTGACTGGAGGGATGCAGTCGTACTATATCTGAAGGTGCTGAGAAGGGGCCGCATAAAGGGAGCCCATTTCCTGACACAGGCTCGAAACGGGTACCTCCTTCGGTTGTTGCGTCTACACTGACCTGCTGGGTGACACGATCCTGATACTTATATGGTTACATTAACAAACTAAATGAGTACTTGCCTCCACATTCTCTACACGTCTTCGCGGGGCTTTGTACTAATTATACAATTAACGTGCATTAAATGAGTTCTTAGTATTTCAAACCGCATCGTACCCAATTTACATTCGGGAACTCTACTTGAAATTTGTTTAGACTTCACAAACTGCATTTTTCCCCAAAATTTTCATTCTTGGTAGTCATTGAAAACACTATTATTAGTCCATAAGCATCGTAAATAGATTTCAAACAGGGTGACTCTATGAAGAAAGCAGTCTTCTGAGATTTGGCACCGTGTATATGTTGTGTTAACCGACGTTTTTTACCAGTTCTCACGGTCTCTTCGCTTGCAGATTTCTTATATATTTTCTTCTACCCTGAAGATGGAGGCGATACGTTCCTCCGACACGTCGGTTAACACAACATATACACGGTGCCAAATCCCAGAAGACTGCTTTCTTCATAGAGTCACCCTGTTTGAAATCTATTTACGATGCTNGTGACTCTAGTTACTATTTGTGAGTGTGCTCTTGTATTAGCAAGGAATCAATCTCATGAAGATCTTTTAATGAACTATTCATTTCATGAGTAATGTGATTCCTTTTTAGCCTATTCTCCTTCTTTTGGAAGAGAAATGAAGCTTATGATATCACCTTGCTCTCTCTCTCTCTTTCTCTATGTCTGTGTATACGTCAGGGTTCATCTGTCTGCTTATCCCTCCCACAATTTTTGTTATGAAGAAAAGGCAGAAAAATTAAAACAACATACAAAAATGCATAGGAATATTCTACTTTTCCTGTGTTCTAAGGCAGCGCATGTCTGATGGATAAATATTAAAATCGTAATTAAGAGATGCGCCATGACGTGATTAATATTACTGTGACGCATTTATAATGAGTATTTGATGAGATGTCCAGTATATATAAAGGAGCTGCTTTATGCTTCGACCATTATCTTTGCAGGTGCAATATCAGTCTTCATGTTTCCCGTACAAAGCCACATGACTCTCACCCCACTCTCTCTTCTCTGTTAGTCGCTATTCAAACATTTTCTTTACTTTACTTAATTCATAAGTCCTTTAATTATTTGATATGTAGTCAATACCAACAAATCTCCCCGAGACATTACAGTGATATTAAGATGATGCATGGTTTTCCCATTGCTATTTCAGTATCTACAGCTACGCTTCAGCCGAAGTGTTCGTGTAATAGCATCAGTGTTGAGCACAGTTGGGTTACTCCTATATATTCCCATAGTTGTGTATGTACCAGCTCTGGCCTTCAGCCAAGGTAACTACAGATGTTATTATTTTATGCTAGTAACAGGCCTAAATAGTTTAATTCTTTGCTTCTTAGTTGACTTTAAATATGTACAAAATATTTTGTGAATACGTAAGATAATTTCGTTTGATGGTTTCGCTAAGAATGCTGGTGACATAATAATTTTCCTCATGCAGAAGAGTCCTTCTTGAAACACTAGTACTTGCTAAACTGAACAAGATATTTTCCGCCTTCCACAGAATGCAGAGTTCATTACCATGTACGAGGGGAGACCCAAAAATAACCGGAAACGACCTGTTGCGCGCGCATGCTTTGTAGTTACGAGTTGTGCTGCTAGGTGGTGTTAGCTGGGGGTCTCCCGCGACTGTTAGTGAGCTGGCGTCAGTCTGAGTTAAGTGGTTTGTCTGTGGTGCTCTGTTGGTGCGTTCCTGTTTCAACCCTTTGGCGATTAGTGAGATGGCCGACCAGAAGGAACAAAGAGTGTGCGTGAAATTGATGAAGATCGTCGAAAGACCATTGACCAACTTTCTGAGGAAACGAACATCTCATGGAGCACGGTCCAGCGAATTTTAACCGAAGGTTTGCACATGAGACGGGTGTCTGCAAAATTTGTTCCTCGCTTGCTCGGAGATGACCAAAGAGAAAACCGCGTGAATGTTTGCCGCGACTTGAAGAGTGAAGTGCAGTTTTCCCTAACAGAAAGCAAAATTTCACGCACACTCTTTGTTCCTTCTGGTCGGCCATCTCACTAATCGCCAAAGGGTTGAAACAGGAACGCCCACAACAGAGCACCACAGGCAAACCACTTAACTCAGACTGACGCCAGCTCACTAACAGTCGCGGGAGACCCCCAGCTAACACCACCTAGCAGCACAACTCATAACTACAAAGCATGAGCGCGCAACAGGTCGTTTCCGGTTATTTTTGGGTCCCCTTCGTACACTAGGGTCCACCACTGGGCCCTAACCCGATCCACGCTAACCCAGTCCACGTCTTCAAATTATTTTAATTCAAATTTAATTAGAATATTGTGAAATGTTGACCCCTACCTCCCCAGCGGCACGTAGCGGTAACGTAGCGCTCGCGTAATAGGCGAGTCATCACCTCGCCACTCTCCCCGCGGTGACGTCACGAGCGGAGCCGAAGTGAGCCGAGCGGAGCCGAAGTTCCGGAAGGTCGCGGGCTCTCTCAAACCTGAGCCTCTTCAATTAAGGGGTTCCAGACGGATTCTGGTGCATTTCTCGTCCCTCGTATGGACAATACATACGCTGCTCATTTCACTCCACTTATCTGATCACCCATCCACTACTTATATTTGAAAAAGGCTGACAATTGCAGATTTCGATGAAGCTCACTCATATGGGATCCTGATATCCTAAGTTCAAAACTAATATCCATTTTCCTCCACTTATGTCGTTCAAACAATCCAGCTCCAAAGTCATTTGTAACCTTTGTAACATTCTGCTCCTCCGTGCAGAGGACTGCTGGCAACAATCAAATTAACGCATACCTTCAGTCAAATACAGGGTGTCCCAGGAGGAATGGACCAAACTTCGGGATGGTGCGCCTTATGTTAAAGTATGCCGATATAACCCAAAACACCTATGTCCAAAGTTGAACGGTTACGGAGATAATGGCCCAAGAAAAGTGTGGTCTTCTAGCGGGTCCACGGATTATACCTATCAGCTGAGAGGCCTTATCTATGTTTGTCCTTGAGTGCCGTGATTCACCCTAGCCGTGCTTATGTAGTTGGCTTTATCAGAACGCGCAGTCAGCACGTTACGTCAGCGCTTGCCATTCATGTGTCATGTATAGTGCTTGGAAACCCTAAGGACAATTATGACATGGCGAGCGAGTATTTTGTACTTCAATTTTATGGCTTCATGTCACTCACAAGTTAGTTTGATGTTACGTACATTATTAACATTACAGAATCCACATATTCCTGCCAGTTTTAGTATGTATTTTGTAATCAACAAGTGTGCAACGCCGGTCAAAGTTTGACACTTCTCTGGCCATTATCTCCGTAACCGTTCAACTTTGGACAGAGGTGTTTTGGGTTATATCGGCATACTTTAACACAAGGAACACCCTCCCGAAGTTTGGTCCATTCCTCCTGGGACACCCTGTATATGACACAATATCACTATTAAATGTGGCCCACGTGTGATGAAGGTTCAATATACGTTTACTTCTTTACTTCAGCACCCTTATGTGTAACTATGATGAAAGGAGATGTCACAGTTTTTAATAATATATGAGTATGAGTACAATGCGACTGCTAGAATATACTGTCATCCGTCTCCCTAAGATGACAATTATCAATTTAGATTTGGTTAATTACAATCGGATGTTATAGGGACAGGGACAGGATATGCTAGGCAGCTCCTGTTTTACGTATATAAATTATGTCAGAATACATAAATCACACTATTTCTTTAATTTTATCACATGATTCATGAAGTTGAATTGTTTCTTAACGTAAACAAACGGTAATGAGAAATGGATAATGGGGTAGCTGTGCCTCTCGGAATAAAAAATTTCCAGCCAAGTGATGGAAATTACAGATAAGTCTTGCACCAACAGCAAACCTAAGAATATTAATTATCTATTCCGTTAATATAAAATTTGATATGACACCAGACTCTAATTAAAACGTAATTCTACAAGCATGAGTCGGGGGCACGCGGCAGCGTAGTTGGTTGAGGGGCTATGCTACAAGCCGGAAGGTCGCGGGCTCAAATCCCGATGAACTCATAGGATTTTTTCAATTGATCTAATCCTTCCAGCCGCACTATGGTCCTGGGGTCGACTCAGCCTCTAACAGAAATGAGTACCAGGAATTAATTAAATAATTTTCCTGGGGAGTAAAGCGCGGCCGGCGCGTAAGGCTGACAACCTTACCGCCATCTTTGAGCCGATTGTCTAGATAATGTGGGACCCTCAACGTCTCACAACCCTATGGGCCTTCACGGCCTGTTACAGGGAGAGCTTTACTTTTTTTTACAAGTATAGTCATAATTGTTAGATAACCTGATATTTGTCAGAATGGTGACGCTCAGTTATCAAACACTACCCCTGTATATTCCACAGCAAAGTTCGGCAGGACATAAAAATATGGACATTTTAAACAGGAAAACAGGCTGTCATGCATACTTCCAATCGCAAGAAAATAAGAACCAACAGCACCACATTCTCTGTGATCTCTGGGCTCTTTCTTCGTGGGCACGTTTACTTTAATGGATTTTATGCGTCACTAAAATACTCAGCAAGATTTTACATACTCCCAACCAATTAGTGTACTTTTCTCACAACTGAAGGTCCCTTTCTCTTTCAGTGAGCGGAATGAACGTACACATTATCACTCCGGCCATCTCCATTCTCTGCATCATCTACACTATGTTGGTAAGCACAGCACTGCATATAGCCTTCGTCTGATGCCTACCCTTTGACCTGTCCAGCAAGGGAGGCTCTGCCAGTAGCTACGCTGCCGCTGGTATAGCTCTCAGGGTCCTTGACATACTCAAACCCCCTCACCACGAGGGGGACGATCGCCTCATATCACGTTCAATATACTATAAATACTAGCGAGTGTGACATTCTTATAGACGATAACCAGGTCTAAACTGAATTTATAAAATAATTCCTTTCTTGGAAAATGTAAAGTAGCTTACACTTCACAACTACAGATCTCAAGGAGACGTCTCCTATTTGACGGTTCTAAGAGAGAAAAAAGAACATCACGCGTAGTTCTTTATTTTAAGTGAAATACACATCTGTATTTTTGTATCTTACGGCTTTCAATTTTCCATTTAGGTATAGCAAGTGTCAGGTAACTTTGAACAAGGCCAAGAGTAACCTTGAATGCGCAGAAGATAAATTTCAGACAAGGGGTTGGAGGGTGTGAGAGGTGACAGGCGTCCAGTGGAAGAACGAGTGTTAAGAAACTCCTCCCACTACAAGCTATGCGCGGGATTTGACTAAGAATGCGGGCCTTGTTCGAAGTTACGTGACACTGTCTATATAACCCAGTCTATCCTTACTGATAATGGAATTGCATTTCAGTAAATGGTTGATGCGATAAACGTAACCAGTCTCTTAAGTCGCAGTATTTGCAGATAGTTTGTTCTTCCAAACTAAAACATTGTGGGAAAAAGTAAAATAAAATAAAAATTCCGGAAAATTTAAGTCTAACTCTGTTCTGAAAATACAATGGCATTTTAAATGTAGGTGTAACTTCTCGAAACATATTCCTCCCCCTGGGGACTCTCATTTAGCCTACTTTGCCTCGTTGTAACAAACGTAAAGTGTAGATTAGTATCTGAGGTTCTCAAAGAGGTAGTATGTACCGCCGTATAGTCCTTTAAAATTCAACAAAAGTGTCTAAGGAACATATCACAATCTTCATGGTTGGAAAGCAACCAAGGAAGAAACCAATTCCCTTCGCTGTCTGCTTCATACTGATTTCTTGCTTGGTTTACTCTCCAACCGTGCAGATGAAGGCGATGTGTTCTTCCGAAATGCTGATTGACATTCAGCGGACTACATTGTATTATATCTCGGAATACAGAATCCTGCAAATTGTGCTGCTTTACAAATAAAAGTGTCAGATATATTACTACACCTCTAGGTATTCAGTCGCATAATCCTAATCATAAAATGACCAATTAATTCCTGAATAATTTCTTAAATGAACAACAAACAGTATTTGTTTCCAGGGCGGAATAAAGGCTGTGGTGTGGACCGACTTTCTGCAGGGGTTTGTGATGGTGGTGGCCAGCTTAGTGGTCATCGTCCTAGGAGTCATAGAAGTGGGCGGCATGGGTACAGTTTGGGACAGGAGTGTAAATGGAGGAAGAATTCGCATATTCGAGTGAGAAGACATAATTTTGCACTTCTAAATTTTCATAAGAATTCACGATTCCTTCTCAGATTTTGCGGGTTTGAGAATATCTTTATTTTTAATACAGTGGTAATTTAATTTTGTGTGTCCGTGGAGAATAGATTAAATTAAACTAATGCTGAATATGAAGAGTAACATTGACAAGATCGACTGGGCCTACGGTAAAATTTCCGAAGCAAGTTCTATTGACCTGGTATGTTAAATTGGCTTATGTTTATACCTAGGAATAAATGCAACAGCCCCGTGGTGAGGCAGACATGTGGACTGGAGGTAGCGTTGTAAAATATGAAGTTTATTTCAATAAATTCACAGTTATCAGTAAAGTTGCTCCTGTGCTTAACTAATTAAGTACTATGCCATGAAGGCGTATGGGAGAGTGGATGTACAGATCCATGTATTCTTAACCTTGGCACTATTCGGAGGTGAGTGGTTAGCTTCATTTTCCGGCTGCTGTACACTTGGCGAAAAGTCCCCCGTTACCAATTGGATAGGAGGCTGGGTGAGCCGCAGATCTGGTATGGACAAAGTGGTGAGGAGAACCTTTTACTTGTTCTGGGGCTAGAACTCCAACCCGTCGGCCATCCAGCCCGTAACCAGTCGCTATACCGACTGCACTATACCGGCTCCTCAAAAGATATCAGAATAAAAAAAATTAAAGGCAATTATGCTGGATATTTAGAGACTGGAAATTTAAGGCCTAATAAAAATCTCAACTATTCAGAAGAAAACATAATTTGATATTCGTCACGTATGGTTACCGTTACACAACAATCGTGAACATAATTCAATTTTACGATATTTTCAATTGTTACTAACATGTTCGGCTCGAAGACGTGTAGAACCTTTAAGTCCGACTTCACTCTTCTTCAGATCGCACTCACACAAAATACGCAGACATAACGTACTTACGAGGTCATGCCGTTTGACTTTCTAAATTGTCTCGAAATTCACTCACAATTTCGTCACCACAATGCGTAACACCAAATTCTCGCTTATTCTTCATTCGTAACCACAATTGTTACAAAATCAAAAATATTTTCATTCTTCATGGAACCAAAATAGTTCTCTTTAAGCGAAAAAAAAAAAAACGACTGTCACATGTTAGTCACTAGACACAGGGTTTGGATTGTGAATTGGATTTATTGATGGATTATAACTCGTAACTAAAAATAATTATAGCTCTATCACTAATTTACGTAATTAACAAATCACTACATAACACGCTGTCTCCGTCTGTTACAGTATTCACTAGTCGCTGTTTGGTTACGGTTCTCAAAAATGGAGATTCTTCTGCTTTCCTGCTTACGTCGTTGCCGAATGGCACCTTCTCAGAACAACTCAACTAGCTAAATTCCAGTCCAGTCCAGTAAATTTCTGTTGGCCCTCGCCAGCACAGTCACTCTTGGTTCCGAGTCGTGGGGCAATCATAATCCTATATTACTGTCTAACGACTCTGGAAGTCGTAAAACTCCTCACCAACTTGTGTTGTTCGTGCTCGCTTGACAACTTCCGCAATGCATGTTTATGTAGGTGTTACGGACAATGTAATCATGTCATACTATTACAAACAAACATGAGTTTACTTAAGTCTGTTCCTGGGTTGTTACATCGCTGCATCCAGCTTCAGGGCCGAATTATAAACGAACGTGTAAACCTAAATTCAATTAACGTGAGTCTTGTAATTTTTACTCCAGGATGAGTCTGTCCCCTTTCGAAAGGCTGTCGTTCTGGAATGTTTTGGTGGGCAACACATTCAACTGGATCGGGGCAATTGCTGTAAATCAGGCCATGGTTCAGAAATTCTTATCCCTGCCTACATACAAAAAGGCACAAATGTAAGTAGCGTAGTTATATATATTAATTGTAGGCATGCTTATGCAACGCGGTTTATGAGGGCTGTACAAATATTTCTGTATCATAAGACCATATTACTAAACTGTCGTCTATCTGCGGCCCAAATGAAGATCTTTTTATTTGGTTACTTCAAGAAGCTGTATCACTTTACATGGTTATGCCCGATAGGAGACTGATAACTTATTTTGTTGTGATTTTTAAAACATATTACTATAGCAAATGTTGCGGAATATATTTCATAGAAAATTCTGAAATATATTTTTTAATTTAAACTATTTAGTAAAAATGTTTAAGCCCGTGAGAAAGGTACAATATTTTGTTAAATACAATTTCAAAAATTTATTAAATACCGTATGTTGGATTTCACTAGCGTAGCCACTGATCTTGCACTAGGAATATCTATGTTCGTTATAGTTTGTTGAAAGACTGATAAAAAATGTCATCTCTTTATAAAATGTCAAAACTTTTACAAATGTTAAGTAATGAAGGTGTAAAGCCGTGCCGTAGCTCAAGCGGTTAGTCGCTGGATTCCCACCGCGGCGGCCCGGGTTCGATCCCAGATCTGGTCAAGTGAGATTTGTAGTGAACAAAGTGGCGCTGGGCGGGTTTTCTCCGAGTACTTCGGTTTCCCCTGCCAATCTTCATTCCACCAATTACTCCACAATCATCCTCACCTATCATCTGCGGCTGGTACAATAGGCAAGAAGTGGCAGCAGTACAAGGGACTTAGTCCCACCCCGCTAGCAATAAAAAAAACATGAAACAATGATTCATAAGCAATATTCTATCCACATATCCTACCTAATGTATAATGTTCAATCATAAGCCCAATTTCCAGATATTTCCATACATTTTAATATGCCGACTGTTCCTAAAAATAAGTTATCAGGCATACAAGTTATTCTTTTACTGAAAGTTAAGAAAATAATTTCATAAAATAATTATTAAGATCAACTGTGTCTTAGGAACTACATATGCTTAGCTACATTTTCCGAATCAGACTCTATTATAGCTGTGAAGATATTAGCAAATTTTGATATTATTTTAGTACGCACAATCTGTGTGTTACTACCTGGTAAGCATTAGGGACAGTACTTTTAGGCACAGAGGGTGTCGAAATGTGGTCGCAGTATTGCTCAATTTCACCTACACCCATAAATATGTTTCTTGCAGATCACTAATCCTGCTTGCCGTCGAGCTAATTGTAATCACGACTATCAGCTGTTATACCGGGCTTCTGATATTCGCCAGTTATCATGACTGCGATCCAATTACTGCTAAGGTAAGCCAATGCAGGATAATCTACATAAGACATAAATACAAGGTTACTTTACAAGTTACCGTGTTCAACACTATAATCGCTTAACATGATTCCTTCTCAAAATAACATGCGAATTCGGAAAGTTTGCGCTCTTTGCATTGAATTAATGCACAATGAAAAGGCCCATCTGTCCGTATACATGCTGCCCCCCTAAAAATTCTAGACAGAAATTTGGTAATAGGGAGTACGAACTTCTTAGTTGCAACGCCGTGTTGGTCAATAGAAGTCCACCAAATTTTCAGGGTAACGTATCGCCTCCATCTTCAGGGTCGAAAGTAATCGAAGCAAGAAACGTCGGTGAACTTGTACCAAACTAGACGACGTTACAACTTAGAATAACGTACTCTTCATACTTGCCGCCATGAGAACCTCAAATCTAACAGTGGCATTAGGGGGGGGGCTCAGATTAACGATTATTAGACAAATTTTATTTATTTTGTAACATTCGAATATAACCACGACCTGATAATTCCTATTCGAATGTTATGAGTTTTCTCACATATGGCTAGTGCTAAATTATGATATTTAAAATATCTAAATTACGCCTTATGTAACTCATGAGCTAGAAATTTTATTTATCATATTTTGTGAGGTTTCTTAACGAAATAAGGTATAAGGAAAATAATTTCTTACAAATGTAGCATGATTAAATTTTATGTAATTATTAAATAAAATTAGTGAACACATTGCAAATAAGACGAGCAAAATCATACGGTTTGTGTGTGAAAGCGGTGTGTATACAACAATGTTCGGTGTAGCATACCCGAATTATTATGCTCTGCATTACGTAATCGATTATCTCTTTACATTTCAATTTGGGCCTATTAGTTCCTCGTCTCTTTGCTTTCAAACTTATTTTTCCCCCGCAAAGCGACAAGACAATATTCACTCTCTCACAAAACGAAATGTAAATCTACAGTTTTATACAGCTATGAATTTTAACACATTTTGAACTCTCCTCTTTTACTCTTTCTTCTGCATATGAACTTAAAAATGTACTTTGTTTCTCCTGTGTTTTTATTTCAAATCAACTTGCTTTGTGGAACTTATGTGTTTTTATCTATACAGTTTATATATTTCGCCTAGTTAATTATCCCAGGATCATCAGTACAAATTAGTTAGTATCTGGTGTGTTCCGTTACGTTCAGTCTCTCTTCCATTTCTAGGATTTCCTAGTGAAATATTCTAAAGCGAACTGAAATGCGATGGTCAAATGGCATTACTTTCTTTGAGACCATTTGATTAGGAATTCCAGTTGTATTATCCGTACAAAATTGGGTGCAGAGCATGAGATTTACACTTTGGTAAGATCTTCGTTTCTGCCATTTAGAATTTCAACGATTCCCATGAAATTGAAATGATGCGAATCGACGGGCACTTAAAAAGCCACATCGAATAACGCAATAGAAATAAACGGGATGGCTTCGGGAACATCTGAATTATAAAACAAGAAATAGTTAACAGTGTGAAGATAAATCCACAGAAAACTTGAAATAATTTGTACTTCTTTTGGCTTATTTTGGACTTCATCCATCGTCTAGTATGTAAAAGACAAAAGACCACGACGTTTCGGAGACTGGATCTGTCTCTGTTTTCAGGTGGGTAGGGAAGGATGAACCTACTCATTTGGGCTCGTTAGAAAGAGCTAGTCTCAATCACTGGACTTTTACATACCAGACGATGGATGAAGTCCAAAATAAGCCAAAAGAAGTACAGTATACACCATCGTCAGAATCCTTCCAAGTCTATATGAAATAATTTCTTCTTCTAGTATCTTCACTGTTTACAAGTGAAAAAGTAACTCCGAGAAAACTTGAAAATTATGAACTGAAGTACATTATAATACGATAGTAGCTCTTCAGAATATTCAATCCGTTTGTTTTTAAGATTTCCACACGTCCTTTTGGGGAATGCTTGGGTTGCACCCAGCAAATAGCCTTCAGAGCCATGTTTCCTTGTTCTCAGAACTCTGTAATCGTAACTGTTTTACAACTCCGATTCAAAACACTCGTTATCTCTGCAGCAGTTACAGCCCAGTAGGTATCATGAGAGCCAAACAATAGAGTAGTTCACAGAAATGTATTGTTAACTGGAATTATCTCGATTGCTTGGAAACAGACTGTCTCCAGACCGGACCAACTGTTGCCATATTATGTGATGGATATAGCTGCCTCGATACCAGGCCTGCCAGGTCTCTTCGTGGCGGGCATCTTCAGTGCAGCCTTAAGGTACGGGACGCCAGCTCTTGCCAGAAGTTCTGGTTATGCACTGCCTTGCACAGAGGCCGCTCTGTCCGGCAGTTTCTCGCTTAACAAATCTATATTACATTTTATATTAAATTATACACAATTTCGCTATATGCACTTTCCTATATATTCTGTTGTGTTCGAAAAACCAAACCTCTTAACAAAGTATTTGCAATTATTATGCAGTGCTTAGAGCACGCATAAGTCAGCGAGTGCAACGGATACAATGTGTAGTTCACAACAGCTATAGATTCAAAATGTAGTTCACTGCGAACAGAATTCGCAACAGCGACAGTGTCAAAGTATATTTCACAACAGCGACTGAATTCAGAGTCAAGTTCGCAACAGTGACAGGTTCAAAATCTAGTTCAAATAGCGACAGATTCAAAGCCACGTCCAGAACAGCGACTGATTCAAAATCCAGTTCACAATAATCAATAAACAATACAGAAAGTACATTTAAATAGCAGAATTTGTTAATCAAAATGTATTGAATTATATGATATGACATTATAATATTTGGTAGATGTACAACAAAGAAAGACTTGAATATCTCTCTGGAGATCCAGGCAAGGCTCTGGAGGTATTCTCAGAAAGAGGCGCGAGTCTTGAAACCCCGTTGTACCTATTGAAGGCCTTCAATATAAGACTAGCGAGAGAGAGGCTTTAGGAATTGTACAGTTACATATAAACTGGAAAAGTTGGGAAATAAAAAGTCCATGCTGATTCACGAGAAATAATATAAATAAGAAATGACACAAGAAAATGAGTTTTTGAACCAGTTACTTATCTTTCCTCTATTCTAGTGATTAGTGTAGGGCTACTGGCCTGATATTCACAAGATTACGCGTTCGCCCAACTGGCGCATTAATCTTCAAAGGAAATACAGTCGTAAAGTCAGCACGTATTCCAGCACCTGAAGTAGGAAGTAGAACCAACTCCCGAAAAGTCGTGTATATTAAAAATGCTTCAGCCAAGGCATAATGCCCAATATAATATTTACATAAGTAATCAACCGCTGTCATAAACCTTTGGAGAAGCAAATAAGGACCTGTAGGTTCTCACAGCGGTGGTTATGAAGAGTATTATCTCTGAGATATAACGCAGTGAAGCCCGTTGAAAGTCTATCAAAGTTTCACGTTTGTTTCTTGCTCGGCTTATTCTTCGACAAGGAAGATGGAAGTGATATATTCTTCCGAAACGTTGGTTGACTTTCAACAGGCTACACGGCTTTATATCCCAGAAGATGATAATCTTCAAATACTCATTTGACGTTCTGTTTTTCCACAGCACTATGTCCAGCAGTCTCAACGCACTGGGTGCAACTCTGTTCGAGGACTTCATTCGTCCTTGTTTAAGAAATAAAAGTTCGGACAAGACGATCAACAACATAATAAAATGCGTAGTTGTCATAATTGGCGCTCTGTGTGTCCTCATTGTGTTTGTCGTCGATAAACTGGGCGCTGTTTTACAGGTAAAAGTGGTGGAACTGCATATGTGTTCATGTGAAATGGAGCAGTTATAAACTGCAGTGTGTGATATCAAGATGTCGCCTGTAAAGGTATTCTATTTCCGGGTCTTGATTAGGCCTACTTCTGAAGCTTTATGCATTTAGTGAGATTCCTTGAACGGGAGACGGACCCATTTCAGGGCCCCTAGCCACACAGAATAACACAAATATAGAACAAATATGGATATACATTCACAAGTCGTGTTGGATTCGTGCCCCAGCCTTCCAAATATTTGAAATTCGTTGCAGTTTCGAAATATTAAGATACTCGTATGATTCTATTACGGTTTTGTAACGTTTTCTGGTGGAGAAACATTCCTATAACTAACCCAATGAAGTTAATTTTTCTTAAGAACATAACAATCTCTCAATTAGTCAAACAGCTTTTTATGGAACCCGAAAATTTATTAGATTTTATCTATGTAGTACATCACATAAAGAGCTTCCGCTGAGCCCTGTTTTGAGCTAGACAAATCCAGTCAACAAAACGCTTGTACCGTGTTAAGATCATGGTAATACCTCATTTTCACCCTACACTCATTTACGTCCAGGTCTCCTAAGCAGTGTAATGGCTTTCAGAACATTTTTAGCAAACAGTTCATTCAAGTTTGTTCTAATGCATATTCAGACAGCATTTTGAAACCTATGTAAATTCAGACAATTGTTTTCATACAGCCGGTCACGGTAGCCTAGCGGTCTAAGGCCTGTACTGCCTTCGCTCGCTCGGAAGCCGGGATCGTGAGTTCGAATCTCACACAATTCGATGGATGTTTGGTATGTGTATGTGTTAATTCTGTGTTTAGGTAGAGGCCTTGCGGCGAGCTGATTACTCGTCCAAGGAGTCCTACCGTCTGTAGAATGATCAAAATAAACAACCTCGACACCAAGGTATAAGAGGGACGGATTAAGTAACTAAGTTTTCTTACAGCTGACACTGCGTGCGGCGGGGGTTACAAGTGGCGCCATGGTGGGACTATTCACTTTTGGAATGTTCTACCCGCGAGGAAATTCAAAAGTGAGTTTGCACTCTTTTCATATCTTAGTAATACACTGTAATAAAATGTGCTGCACTTAAAACCGAAATGTTGATCACAGGGTGCTCTAGCCGGAAGCATTAGCAGTTTGCTCCTCATGGGGTGGGTAGTGTTCGGAACACAGAAGGCGACGTCTGACGGTAGGATCAAGCTACCAGCACTGCCAGTCTCTGTGAAAGGATGTGCCCTTAATGTCACGTTGCCTGAACTGCAAACGTGAGTAAACTGTCACTCAATTTTATCTTAAGTATGTCAGTCATTTATATAGAGATTGCTTCCCCTGCTGTTCAAGAAATTATCTGTTGTTAAGGGGATGTCAGGTCTTTGATCCTTCTCCACAAACATTTAAAATCACTGTACATCATTACAGCCTGATTTCCTCATAAAAATTTTGATGTTAACCATTAACGAATTACTCGAGTTTCAAAGTGACTTATTTATGTATTAAGTCTATCAACCACCTACGCAGGAACACCAAATCTTACTCTCCTAGTTTCAATATTACTCCACTTGATCTTATAGTTCCTGGTTTTATTGAAAAGTATAAAAATACGGAAGCTCCTCGGCAACTTACCATATTCTTCAGTCGGCCTAACTGAGATCAAAATAATATTCTAAATATTTTGCTTATAAATATCTTAAATTTCCCCAAAATTAATTAATGGAAATGCGATATAATTTCGTACTCCTACAGAGAGGATATATAATTATAGCTATTTTTACTTTACATTTTAACACTCAGCTTTTGGGGGGAGGAGATAAAAAGGAAAAAATTGTGGACATACTGTAGATCATAGCAGTATAACGTTAGTTTAATTTAAGTCTCAGAAGAATAAAACTGCTAAACTTACAATTGAATATTTCCACTATGAATAATAAGGGGTCACGCCTTAGCGTAGTTTGTTGAGGGACTATACTACAAGCAGAAAGTCACAGGTTTGATTCCCGATGAAGTCACTGGATTTTTCAATTACCTGATCTTTCCAGCCGCACTATCGCCCTGATTTCAACTCAATACAAATGAGTACCAGGAATCTTCCTGGGGTTAAAGGGCGGCCGGCGTGTACAGTTGACAACCTCACCGCCATTTTTGAGCCGACTGTCTATAAAATGTGGGAACATTGACGTCTCATAAACTGATGGGTCTGTACGGCCTGTTACAGGGATAGCTTACTATGACTAATCACAATTATAAGTAGGCGTTTAAGGGGGTAAGAAAGAAAGATTTCACATATTCTTGAACTCGATTTATAGAATACGACTGAATTCACGTTCTAGTCGTTTTACTAGCGAAGGGCCATTTGGCAGGAAGTTGGATGGTCACAACTCATTGTGGACATTGCGACGAAGGAAAGAAACTTAACTGTCTGGGCTGTGTTTGTGCACTTTCTAGGAATGATGCTTCAGACGACGATGTCTTCGTGTTGTATCGCGTCTCCTTTATGTACTACACGTTGATGGGGATTATCGTTGTGTTTGTTGTGGGAAGTGTCGTCAGCCTACTGACAGAACCGCCGGATCGCCGAAATACGGACCCTGCACTCTTCGCCCCATTCATGAGGAAGTACGTCAAGGAAATGAACACTAAAAGATACGGCACTACAGAACCGGCTGAAGAAGAATTAATGAATAAGACTTTATGACATGTCAAACATTTTGTTATTTTTACTTTTGTTCGCTGATTGTGTACCGTGTATTTCCATAAACTGAAATGATTTTGAGTAATTTTTAAAATCGGATATTTTTTGTTTGTTTGCGCCTCTTTTTCAAGTAAAGTTGTATGGCGTGTCTCATTATTATCGCGGGTCCTTGTTATGAAATATTGTTTATTCTTCGGACGAATAAAATATTATATTTATGTTCTCACATAATGACAGTTATATCTAACTTGAGTCTTCTATATGCACCAAATTAATATCCAGTTTATTATGTGATACTTCATTGGTTCTATCCTAATATGGGATACCAAGTACTTCTCAAGGCCGGTCACGGTAGCCGAGCGGTCTAAGGCATGTACTGTCTTCGCTCGCTTGGAAACCGGGATCTCACTCAGGGCATGGATGTTTAGTTTGTGTGTGTGTGTGCGTTTTTCTGTGTCTGTGTATAGGTAGAGGCCTTACGACGAGCTGACCACCCGCCCAAGGAGTCCTACCGTATGTGTAAGATCTACAAAAACCGAAGTGAACGGAGAATTTCATGGAGGTAGGCCTAGGCCCACTGGGCCTGTAGTGCCAAGGGGGGGAAAAAAAAGTACTTCTCAAGAGCTCCTTTCGTATAACTCCCCGAAACGGATTGTGGCGTTCACTGACCTGGGTGTTCATAGGTATTCTCTGTGGAATTATTTAACCACTTTATTACGTGTATATATATAGTAGCTTGTAGAGCCATTCCTATGTAACAACCGCGAGATGAACAAATATTCCAGGGTTGTTTCTGGGCAACGGTTCGGTAAACAGTTTCCCGCAGCAACGAATCGACGTGCAACAGTAGAGGTTCTGTTGGAAACAGGGTGTTCCTACTTGGTCCGTACCTAGGAGC